TGAAAGAAAACAGTACATAAATAGTGTCCTAATTGTTATTCCTGCAACCAAACACACACACACACACACAAATTATACAAGCAGATGCCGCAGATCAGTGAAAACACAGAACAAAACGGAGACTGAAGCTCCAAAACTCGAACCCAAACAACCCAGAAACCCAAAATTAACAATGCATGCTGTAAATTCAACATTTCAACCAAACAAGCACGTGCATGTAGCGGAACAAGCAAACCCAACGGCGATCAGCTAAATTGTAGAGAGAGAGAGAGATTGACCTGCGGAAATCGGAGCTCCTGAGCTCCAAAATTAGGGTTTGCAGGGGAAGAAGAATTGGGGGCAGGGCCCTGAGAGATTCGCAGCAGCTCAGTGGTCAGAAGAGGCCATAAAACTTAAAAGCGAAAGAGGACATTGGTAATTGGAGCACTGTGGTGTGCGTGACAAGTGAGAACATCGAGAAGGCGACAAATGTATGAAGTTGGAGACGTCAACGACCCTTTGACTGAATCGGGAGTGATGAGATGAGTTGGTAAAAGTTATGAAAGTTGGCGAAAATTTATGGATTTCCGAGTTAAAATTTATGGATTCGGGGTAAATTTTGATGGGGTCCCGTGGGGACATGTCTTTTCCAATCTGTTAATTTTCCTGACATGTTTAATTAGCTAGCTCAGGTGGATTTCTCTTTAATGTATGTCATCAGAAATGCAATGCTCTCAAAATGGGATTTTTTTATAAATTTTATGTATAATGTTTTATAATATTTGTTTAAAAATTATCGTTAAACTTTAAGGTGTCAGATAGTTTATAACATGTCTCATCTTTTTTTTCATTTCTTTTTTTGGGAACAAAATGAGAGTTCCATTTTAGGCCTTAGCATTTCTCTCTATGGCATTTCATCGTTGTTGTTTTACACAATTTTAGAAATAATTTATTTTGATAAAATTTTAGAAATAATTTAATAAAATTATTTAACCGTCAAATCTAATTTACACAGGTAATCATTCCGAACAGTTCGGTTTTGAAGGTTAAATTTTGGATGTTTCACGGTTATGAATAACCGTTGTGTAAATTTTTCGATTTCAAGTTCGATTATAGTTATTGAGGTATCCATCCCAAACTCATACCTGAAACTGAATCGTTTTCATCTTTTAATAAAAATTTATAAATATTTATTATATGGGGAAGCGAATTATCAGTAATCATATTTTTATTATTATTCATTATGATTTATATGATGCTTATTAATTATTAAATGTATAAATATTTTTATGATAAAGAAGATATTTAATATTATTCATGCATTATATCAGTTGTATTAACATCAGTAGTCTATTTTATTTTATTTTTATCTAAAATCCTCTATTTAATTATATAAATAGATATACAATATATAATTATTGTAAATTTGTAAGTAAAGAATAATATCAATAGACCGTAATACTAAGTGGCGGGAATTCTATGACTTCGGATTTGGATAAACGAGTTTAGATGCAGGGTGGAACGTCCGAGCCCAACCCGCTCTATTGCCATCCATACGTGTATCAGCAATGGAAATGGTGTGGGAAGGATTAAGTGAGCCCCTAATTAGAGCATTGCTAATAGGGGATGCAAAGCCTCTTTCGCATCCCATTTTCATGTCGAATTGAAGTAAATAGTTTTGTTCTAATGACAAAGATGTATGTATAATAAATTGGATTCAAAGTTGATTTACTCATTGTTTGTATATAATTATGATGTGTGTAATTTTATTTTCCGATCAAATGTGATCGTTGCTGTAAAAAAGAGTTCAAGTCATTTATTTTTTTCACAGTGGATGAGAGAGAGCAAGTACTATAGTAAAAAAGATACGTTATGTGCGTTCTAGGTTTGTTGTTTTCTAACTTTGTCAGATACAAGTAACTCGTGATTGACTCACGCGTTTGACATCTTTAGCTGCGTTTCACTTGCAACACATTTTTTCTCTCCTTAATCAATTTATTAAACCATGCACGTGCGAATTTAACGTCTAGTAGTCAATGTTTGGTTTTTTTACATCGACACACGAGATGTGACCTTTACATACTTAAATTTTTGTGTATTGAAACACTTACGTTGTGGGTGGGTGGAGTGCAAATGTTGCTTATAGGTTATTGCTTCTCATATTGGAAGAGTAAATTGTAGCAATGATCCCTGAACTTTAACAAATTGGAGCAATGGTCTCTCAACTAAAAATCTATAACCATTGGTTCCTAAACTCATCAAAACATGTTACTATGGTTATTTTCGTCAACTTCGTCAGAATTCTGTAAATATGAGTTATGTTGGTAGGACCATTGTTACAATTGGGTTAAAGTTGGGGGACCATTGCTCCAATTGGATTAAAGTTGAGAGACCGTTTCTCCAATTGGATTATAGTTGATGGACCATTGATACACATGTGACTCATTTTGACGGAAGTTCTAACAGAGTTGACGAAAAGAATCATAGCTGCACGTTTTGATGAGTTGATAGACCAATGGTAATTGATTTTTAGTTGAGGAACTATTGCTACAATTTACTCCATATTGGAAATATAGAGTGAGTGAGAAATATAACATATGAATGACATAGTAACACATAATATTTATTATAAATGGCGTTTAATTGCAGTTGCGAAAAACAATCATGATGTGGATTCGATTGTCACAAATTCCTCCTAACAACTGAGTATTTAACCTAATAACCCTATCACTCTACTAAAAATATAATATAGAATTAGTCCTTGAATTTACACTTTAGGTTTCGTCCCTCAAATAAAATTCATTAATTAATATCGGTGAATTTAACAAAATGTGCAACATTAGTCCGTTAGTAAAACTTTTAGCTAACGAAAAAGACTAATACTACACATTTTATTAAATTTGATCTCAATTAATGAATTTTTAGTTGAGAGACATGGAAATCAAACTAGAGTGCAAGTCAAGAACCAGTTCTAATGTTCACTAAAAAAATTCAATATTTACTGTTTCAGCTGATCGGTTAGGCGCGCATCAACCCGCTAATAAAATTTAACGCGCCGGATCCGACCCGTTTGCCAGGTCGCCTTCGCATCCCCACCTCTCTCTAGATCTCGTATACTCAGACACGCTCACAGAGACGAGTGAGCTTTCAGGAGCACCAGAAAACCGTGGAGGATCAATTCGGAGCAACGGCGGAGTCTCTAAGCAAGGCGTCGACAATGGTGTTCCGGATCGGCACCGACGCCCACCTCTACGACGATCCCGACGACGTCAGCATTGCTCCTCTTCTCGACAGCAGGTTCGACTCCGAGAAGTGCGAGGCTCTCAAGCGATTGCTCGCTCTCATCGCCCAGGGATTCGAAGTCTCCAATTTCTTCCCTCAGGTCCCTCTCCAACTTCATCACTGTCGAATTCGAATCCGAAAAATTGATATATAATTTGAAAAATCGGAGCAATCAATTTTGTAATTTGAATTTCGTTTCGGTTAAATTGGAATCGCAGGTTGTGAAGAACGTAGCGTCGCAGTCGTTGGAAGTGAAGAAGCTCGTTTAATTGTATTTGTTGCATTATGCTCAAAAGTAAGCTGAATTCAATACTCTTTGAATTCATTTGAATCTTTACTCAAATTTTGAGCTAATTTTTTTGCTGTTGCTTTCGAAATTTTGATGTCTACTTGAATTCAGGCGTCCGAACGAAGCATTGCTATCGATTAATTATTTCCAGAAGGATTTAGGGGATCCAAATCCGTTGGTGAGGGCGTGGGCACTGAGAACAATGGCGGGAATCCGGCTACACGTCATTGCACCTTTGGTTCTTGTTGCGGCAGGAAAATGTGCTAGAGATCCGTCTGTGTATGTTAGAAAATGTGCGGCCAGTGCGCTTCCTAAGCTGCACGATTTGCGCCTGGAAGAGAATACTGTGGGGATTGAAGAGGTTTGATTTTGGTGTTGTATTTGTAGTTCATATCATTAAGATGTTGATGTTCATTTGATTCAATCATATGATCTGCTGGCTATTCTCTTATATAATGGTCTTCTCTTTTCAGATTATTGGAATATTGTTGAATGACTCTTCCCCTTGTGTCGTTGGAGCTGCTGCTGCTGCTTTCTCTTCTGTTTGTCCGAATAATTTGTCACTGATTGGAAGGAATTATAAAAGGTTACGTGAGGTTCTTCCCGATGTGGAAGAATGGGGTAAAATAGTCTTAATTGGAATCCTTTTGCGATATGTAGTTGCAAGACATGGGCTTGTAAAGGAATCCATTATGTTTTCTTTGCATGGAACTTGGAATCATCGATCTGAAAAGGATTGCTCAGATACCAACTCTGCGTTGGATGACAATGGCAACAGTAATGATCTTTATGAGTCTGAATTAACAAATGCTGTATCCCGTTGTTATATTGAAGGACCAGCTGAATATTTATCGCGATTAGTTTGACATCTGGAAAGAATAATGATGATGTGAAGATCCTGCTGCAATGTACATTGCCATTGTTGTGGAGTAATAATAGTGCAGTTGTACTAGCAGCTGCTGGTGTACATTGGATTATGGCGCCGGTGGAGGATTTGAAAAGAATCGTTAAGCCGCTATTGTTCGTCCTAAGATCTTCTAATGCCTCAAAATACGTGGTAGCTAACATTTCCTTACAATTTAATTGGTTTGTATGTAACATTGAAGTACTCTTTCATTTATTGATGCATGCACGTGACTGCTTGAACTCATATATTGTTGAGATTTCATAAAAATTCTTTTGTTTACAGTTGGTAAGATGGTGAGGATTGTTTTATTGATTGACCAGTGTAGGTTAACATTCAAGTGTTGGCCAAAGCAATTCCTTCACTCTTCTCTCCATACTTTGAAGATTTCTTTATATGCTCTTCGGATTCATATCAAATTAAAGCTTTGAAACTGGATATACTGGCTTACATCGCTACAGAGTCATCAATTTCATTTATACTCAAAGAATTTCAGGTTTTTTTTTTTTTCCTGAAGAAATTATATTTTGCCTTTCCTCTTATGACAGAGACTCATGTCTACTAGATTTTTCATACTTTAAGTGCATGTGTGTGGATGGTGTATTTTAAGTTTTTTCAGTCAAATCGTTCATCCTTTAAGAAAGAATAGACGTCTTGCATACATGATTTTGATGGGGTTGGCCTCTAGTAAAATTGGACTATTGGTACAATCCAGCCCCAATCAGATTTGTTGGTTAATATATAGTCTCACATCGAAAATCTTACAAAATAAAATACAACGTAAATTAAGTGGTTCGATTACTAATATCACTGAGGCCTTTTCTGTTAAACAAGCAGTTTACCATCGGACTCTCTGAAATTCCACCTTGGGATATCTGCTGCAGAACCCACATATGCTCTTCTATCCTTCAACCTTCTTTCTTTTCCCAAATTTCTCAAAGCTTCCGATCTGCATCTCTCTTCATTTACCACTGACTGGTTTCCCACTCTACACAACAACTGCTTCTGTTGCCCTAATTGCCACATATGCACTTTCCATTCTCTTGTTTGTTCCCTTTCTTTGTACAACCTCAGTTTCAGCTCTTCGACTTTTCTGTCAAGTTGACCTATCTCTTCCTCTACCATTGCAAGCTCCGAAAACAGCTCCTGAACCTGCCATGAAAAATGTGTTGATACCAACCTGCCATTGTCAGACTGAATTTAGACCGGCATGTTCATGCAAGAATCAACTTGACCGAACCGGCAGATTCACAGTTTGACAACAGAAGAGTACCTGAGCTGGAAGCAAGGACAAAAGACGTGGATGGGACTGAACAGGTCCATGAAGTGCACAATGCAGAAACCTGCCGAGTGTTTGTTCTCCTTCCAACTTCGCCTGCAATTTCTTAACCTGTATAAACGCACAAGAATTTGACTGTGTCAAGCTAATTATGTAACAAATTCCTAACATGTTACACAAAATTCTACGTCGGAAAAGGGCAAAAAACTTATATAACCATCATCACCTCTTCCTCAAGATCAAGTCTTCTCTGCTCCTCCTCGTTTCGTTGCATTAGAAAGTCTTCTAATTTCATTGTTTCCAGAAGCAAAGATCACTACTACTAACAGTTTGGAAGTAAGATTTGAGGGCTGCACGCTGCAGGAATATTGGAAGTTATACTGTTACTGAGGCGCGGAGAGGTGCTTAAAAAGAGAGAGTGAGGTGACGTCGTGGGTGCCATTAATGGTAGGTAGCAAAGCAAGAGGGGGAGGTTGAGATTTGAGAAGATTGAGAGGGAAGGAGGAGGGAAAATCGGGAAATTGAAATTCATGAGAAATGAGAATGTGGTGGTGTAAGAATTTTTTTTCCGCTGACATAATTAGGTATCGAACTTATCACAAATATATAGTGTGTACTGTTTTCGTGATGTATATAAGTCGAGACTTATTTTAGCTTAAAGGAGGCAAATATTACTTGACCGAAAGCTAATTGACAGGGGTGGAATAATCTTTTAAGATTGTGAATCAGTGATTGTATACAGTTGGAATTATTTATCATTATTGTTGTTGTTAGGGAAGTGCATGGCAATCCCATGCTCTCTTTTTTCTACAAATTGAATTTTCATTTAATTTCAACTGCAGGAGGAGGCTGGTGGGGGCGTGAAGTCCATGACAAGAAAAAAAAAATACCAAATTTGGAAAAGCAAAAAAAATCTGCAGAGAATATATTTAACTAGGGCTGGAAAAAAATACCGAAAATTCGAACATAAACCCCCGAAACTGAAGCATACTAAAAATAGAAAAACATCGAAAGTTTTAGTAAGCATACCAAAAATAGAAAAACATCAAAAAATTTAGTATGGTATTCGGTTTCTTTTGACCCCACTTAGTGGAAAAATATTTTGTTGTTGTTATTCAATTTCTTTTGACTGTTTGTTTGGTAATCCCAAACCGAACTAATAATGTTTTTAATATAATTTTATATTTAAAAAATTAATAGTGGCCGTTGGATTCGGATGAGATTGGATCTCAATTGTTCGTCTCTCGACCTCACCCTTTGACGAGTCTGACCTCACTATTTCTCTCTCGACTCCGACGCCATCTCTCTCTCGACCTCACCACTGCAACTTCTCCGGCTATCAAAACGCCGGCGACACCAGACCATTGACCACAACACCACAACTCAGTTCCAATCGCATCGCCAAAATCTTCTACAGTTGGACCGCTGACGAGTGAAGAACTGATGTGCTGCAAATTGATCTGCTTGATATATTGAGGTTAGGTTTCTATGATTTGATGATTTGATTGTTGAATGGTTGCTGCCAAGATTATGGTTGTTGAATTGTTGTTGCTTACTTGCTGCCAACTGTTTTAAATTATGGTCGTTGAATTGTTGTTGCTTGGCGCCAGGATTAGACATCTTGTTTGATTGTGCCATTATGCTTGCCATTGGATTTGCTGCCATTAAACTTCTGGTTGCTTGCTTGCTGACATTAGATTGAAAAACTGAACTTCCTGTTGCTTCTTGTCATTAGCTAGCTGTTGCTTCTTGTTCCAAATTGAAAATTATGCTTGGTGCCAAAAATACAAGATTAGTGAAACATTATGCTTGCCGCAAAAATTATAGTTATTATTAACTTTAATTAATAATATGATATTTATATATGCTAAACTAATGAAAAGAGCTTGAAAACTTTGAGTTTTAATGATAAGGACAAAATAAATGATAAAGTGAATAGTACTTGCATTGATTTTTTAGTGTAAAAATGTGATTTTTCGTTAAAGTTCTCTATTTATATATGTTAAACTGATTGTTCTGATATATCATCATGCATTTTTCGAATGAAAGGGTCTAGTAGCCAATCTAGTATATCCAAGTTCTTAGGTAACCGAAAACAAACAAGCCAAATACCTACACTCCCTCAAGCAGAAGGTTGCAAACTTGCAAAGGATGTTGTGGAAAGGAAATTATGGTACAAATCCAACTCCTAATAAGGTTGCTAAAGATGTTTTTGCTCTTCCTAGTAGGACCGTTGTTAGAGAGAATGCCTTTAGTCTTGGTGGGAGGGTTGTCAATCCTTTTAGAGTTTCCTTAACATCTACAATGATTGAGACTTTAGTGTGTATTAATAATTCACTTAGGGGAATGAATTTTGTTTCTACAAGGAGCCTACAATTGACAATTTCATATTATACAAGAAACTTAAAGGGTTAGAGAAAAGTAAGTAAAGTATTTAATTTCATGTTTTTATTTTTTATTCAATAGATTGAATTTGCTATATAATAATAATAATAATAATAACAACAACAATATACTAATTTGAAATAATATGCGATTTGTTGTTATATGTAGGGGCGTCTAATTTTGAAGGTGAGTATCTGAATCAAAAGAGAAATGGTAGCTCCTCCATCGCCTCCACCACCTCAAATTCAATGACGCCATTCACTACCTCCACGACCAGCCATTTCAAAATCAAGTGGTAGGGGTCAATCATCTAAATGAGTCAAGCTTATACAAGGAGAAGGGGTCGACCATGTACAAGGGAAAGAGGCCTAAAGGGCCAATACTCATCAACTGCTTGAACTTTGAACCAAGAGTTGTCATGACTAAGTTAGTAAATTGATTTCATAACGAACTCTAAGTTGTGCCAATGTTTTGAAGCAAAGTGGCAAAATCTATAAGAAATTACTAAAAAAAAAAGTTGTAGAATTTCGTATGTGAATTGGCAAAAAAAATAAAAAAGAAAAAAATTCAGAAGCCAAGCAAAATTAGGCTGAAAAGCAACTTAAAATTGGGCTGAAGAACTTTTACCGAATTTCTTTAACCCGAAATAATCAGGTCCGATTTTGGTTTTTCCCCTTCCTAAACCATTCGGTTCAATTTTCGGTAAAGCCCATTTAAGTTCGGTTTCCGAACCAAAACCACCTTTCTTATGATTTATATTTTTTTCATTGTGGCCGACACAGTCATTACGTAAGTGGAGAGAAGTTTTATAATTTAAGTTGTAAATTATTTAACACAAGTATCGCACCACTTGCTATGCCTAGGCCGGAGGAGATGCGACAAAGGACTAGGGTCATCGAAAATTTAATTTCAAACATAATTCTATTCATCTACAAACAGATTACAGAGTACAACCAACCAAAAAAAGAGAAATGACATAATACTCGATAAGTTCTGCTTCCAAACCTATGAATTTGAGAGATCACAAGGAGGCTCAAGACCCCACAACAAACAAATACTAAAGTGGAAATAAGCCTAGGCATAGCAACACCAGCCCTTGCTATGCCCCAAAATCCTCTCTAAAGGAGCTTAACTACGGTCATCGTGAGTCCCACGGATCGGGAGTCAGCCCAGATTCAAGCTGAAACTCTACCTTGCTATGCAATCCCATCGGCGGAAGTATTGTTTCTCTATTGATGTGCAGCACTATGCTTCCATCCTCCAAACGTTTGTCCCCCATAATCCTGTTCTACCTGTAAAATGCAGCAAAAAAACCACACACACATCAATCAAACAAGAATTGGTTATGTTGAAAATGTTGTACTAGACTTAAAAGGGAAAAAAAATGAAGCGAAAAGAAGTTACCCTCCGAGTGAAAGTTAGACCAACTTTAATCTCCCCACGATAAGTATTATCAGCGCGAACAACGCTATATTTAAGAGGATGTAACTCTGCAGTTCCATTCTGCACTCCCTGTGCCAATAAATCCTTCACATATATCCTGCAAATTAAGACCAAAATTGATCTTCCATATATATCAGTCATAACGAATTAAGGAGAACATATCTATTTTCGGTAGTAGATAGGTCTTTGTACCACGTTTCATCCATTCATATTATAACACGTGGATTAGTAACATCACGTGACTTAAAAGAATTCGTGTTTAGGCTGAGATTCATTAATATAAAAACAAAAACATACTTGTGTATTGATCACAGTAATCTATTGTAATTAAGAATCTGAGCTCTAAATCAAATTATATCTGAAATAATAATATTTTGACTTACGTTGCTTGGCCGATGTAGTCATCAGAAGTGAAGGTGTCTTTGTCCATGATTTTGAGGGTGATCTTATACTGCTCCCCCGACCCTGGATATTCTGCCCTGAATGTAAATTTCTCGTTCCACTCCGGATTACTTCCTTGTTCTGCATCACCATTCCAAATCAGTACATCTACTCTTTGTTGTTTACGCACAATAGAACACGAAAGTTGAAGTTGCCACAATGATTATCAGATCAAACAGCGTAGAGTATAGGGGAGATTTGCCATCTAATAGTAATCTATCTGCTCTGGTTGTGCCAGAAAAAGTCTACTGTTGGTTAAGTTCGATGCATTACGCAACAAAGCATAGAATGTATTTGCAAATGAGATTTGAATTTGTTGTTACAAGATTATACCAATAATTGTTCTTATTTAGTTGGCTTGCCTTGTTCGTCCAAAAACTCAAGAAACCAGATTTACGAAAAGCACTTTGTTCAAAGATGTTCGGTGCAAGTGGAGGTGAATTAGAAACTTTAGAAGTTACCTCTCGCGACGCTGCTCTTTTTCTCTTGGCCTTTGTATTGCATCACAACATACGGATCCATGCGAGCTGCGAAATCATACTTTGTGTTAGAATACAATCATTCCAGACTCAGAACAACAACAGCAACAACAACCAACAAAAAGAGAAGTAATTTTTCATGCAGAAATTGATGCACATGTCTAGCAGAGCCAAAAAGCACTTCTGTAAGCCACCGGCGTTAGCTTAGTGGTGCGGGCGGGTAGGGTGGCGGGTTGGAGTAGGCCAGATCTCGTAGCAATAACATAAAAAACAACCACTTCTCCTGGTAAATATGTGTACATTTTAACAGTTGCTACCGAAATTTTTGAAGCAATCCGGAAAATTTCGGGTTTCTTGAAACATGTACAAGTTGATTTTAAATTGTTTGAAGTTTTGAACGTTTCACGAATGAGCTGGAGATGAAAATGCAAATTGTGGAGAGCAAAATGGTTGACTAAATTAAAATAAATAAATAAAATAAAAAACAGCATTAAGTATTTGAGCATATTGGGAAGAAAACACAAGAAATCAAAATTTTGAAGAACCCCATCAAGGTTTATGAATGCTTTCAACTAATTACGATCTCAAACAAATGAACAAATCATTGAGGTTTAATTTGAACAACATATTGCTAATAAAAGAAAGAAAAGAAAGAGGAGAGAAAATTATACTGAATAAATCGGTGTCTCCGAGGCCCTTTGCGCTCACAAGATTCACCTCCAGTAACCCAACTGCCATCTTTCTCTCTCTAACTCTCTCTCTCTCTCTCACTTCTGAGAAATGGGAATTTCAATTTCAATGGAATTCTTGTACTAAAGATGAATGCTTTGACGTATTTGTAACGAAGGATTCCAAGTTATATATAATACTAAAAAGAGGGCAGTGGATTCTTGCACGACGGGCGGTCAACTCAAGGCACCTATTAACTCAAACCTCAAGTGGATTATGGATACACATTTGAATTTATGGGGAGAAAACAAATAACATACGCTATGGATTTGGCAAAGCGGGTGCACTTTTTGACTCGGACAACCTTGACATTAAAATAAGGGCTTGGTCTCTCCAACCCAAAACATCGCAAAGAATACAACTACACCATAGTATACTTGATTTTCTCGTTTATACGTAGGTTTAGGGTTATGTTCATGATGCATTTGCTTATGGACATAATTAGTTAAAAGTGGTGGATCTATAAAATATTATTGAAGGAGTCAGTAAGATAGTGCAATTTTTTTTTAACGTAATGTTCAGAGTCTATAGAGGCAATTTGTCGAGCAGTTAGAGGGCATATTTCAATGGCATCTCAAATTTCAAATGGAAGCACCAACGGTCCCAAATCTTCCATTGAGGATTTCTAAGCTCAGGGGTCATATGACCCACCTTGTCTCAAAGTAGATCCGCCCCTAGTCAAAGTGACTTACCGAAATTGTGTTTTGCGCTGAAGATTAAACTGCTAACAATAATTTTACTAAAACTATGAAAGTACAATCAGGTTTCTGCCAAATCAGTAGTCACACAACCATGTGTCTATATCTCTGATGGAGTTGACATGATTCTATACAAGCATGTGTCTGTATCTCTCGTGACGCAACCATGATTCTGTACAACCAGTGCTCGAACAGATATTCTACTTGATAGAACCAACATTGCCATTTTCAGTTTCGCATTCTTCAAATTTCTTGATTACATAAGCATGCTTCTATAAATTGAGCAGCGGATTTGACCAGCATACAAATTAATATTAGGAAACTTTAACGAAAAGCTCACTGTACCATTCACTTTAACGAAAAACCACATTTTTAAGACGCATCAAATGAAACCATAGAACTTTCGCGGTCCAAAGAAACCAAACCGAGGTTTTAATTGTTCCAAATGTTCGCACACAAGTCTACTACTCAAGCACGTCATACTGATCTTACAAACCCGAAAAATTCAAAAATCTTCCAAACATCATTGAACGAAGTTGATGCAGTCACATGACAGCCTTTTTCCTCATCTGCTGCGCGCAGGTGATAACTCAGCAGATCTGGACCTAGATCCAGATGGCGATCTTGATGCTCTATCAGGAGACCTCCAGTGATCTCTTCCGTCCTTGTCTTCGCGCATAGGTTTCCTACAACAGCATAACAAGAACATACGGCCAACATAAAAGATCAGCATTACGTTCGGGTACATGCTAAAAAAAAATCAACCACTTCATAATAACGGCATCATCCAAAAGATAATGCATATTGAGAGACCTGCAGTATAAGCTAGAAAAGTGAAGCAATTGGAAACTCACTTGTCATACCCATCACCGTTTTCATTTGGTCCAGCAACATTGTCATAACCTGGAGAATAGGGTCTGCGATCACCATCTCGCACCGGTGGAAGATCTCGGGGTGATCTTGGGTTGTCTCGCCGCCTTCTGCTTGGTGAAATAGAGTCGCCTCGGCGTCTTGGAGCAGGAGAATAGGACCTGAGAAAGTTATTTGCCAATGTATCCACCTGCATCAGTGGGTGTCCCAAAACTAATATAAAATGAAATCAGGGAAATTCGTCACCTTCAAAGCTTACCTTGAGCGGTACCGACTTCTAGAACCTGATGGATAGCGTGGAGAGCGTGAACGAGAACGTGAACCTCCTGTGACATATCAGATACAGAATGGTGATTAGTGTTTAACAGAAATGGCATCGCATATTTAACAAAACATTTCTCAGCTGATTTGATTATTCACTTCAGCAATGAATAGGAACCCCAGATTTCCTATGGTCAGAAACAGCAAACCGTAATGAATATAACTTGTACTGTCAGAAGAAACATACCATAATAAGATGATCGTCTTCCACCATGATCTGATGGCTCTCTGAAAAAAAGTAAAACAGGCAATTGGTATTCCAAACATACAGAACCAATTTAATAAGAGAGAGAGAGAGAATAGCAGAAACTACCTAACCCTAGTCCTTTGGCGCATCTCCTCCGGCCTTTTCCTTGTCTCTGCAGCAACAACCACAGATATCTCCCTCCCAGCAAAAATCTTCCCATTCATATGATACTGAGCCTCTGCGGCCTCATAAGAATCCACAAACTGAATAAATGCAAATCCTCGAGGTTCCCTACATAGAAGTTCAAAAAAGCTTAGTACAGTACATAGCAGCAGAAATCAAGAGTGAGCAAAGACGGAAGTATAAAGCAGTGACTTTTCAAATTCAGCATAGTACATTACCACCACAATGTCATTACTCAATATACCTTTCTTCACATATCTTACATCAGCTCTGAAGCACTTCCACCTAAGTGGATGCTGATTTTACGTAAAGCAGGTTAAATCGAAGCTTAGTGGCTGACCTTTTCTTTATAGTCAAGTATGAAAGGCAACTTCAAAACATGCAAGTAACTTGGAAATTCTTCTCATTCTTTAAGAAGCACTTGAAATCAACGTTGGCCACAAATTCTTCACATTCTTGTGATTATAAGAAGCACTTGAAATCAACGTTGTCCTCACCAAACTTCTATTGGATTGTTGTAATTATATAATTTCGCTTCATAAAAAAGAAGATTCTTCATTTGAACATTACTCCTAACTCGCTTGGAGTACCACTATGTTAGGCAACGATAAACAGTAGGCCTTCATCAAATGTGAGGCTTGGACTTGTTTTAACTTCAAAGTTCAAACTTCAAACCAACACAACCCCTGACAAACCAGTTCAAAAATTCACTATGAAAGTGGAAAATAAATATTTAAAAAAAATAGTTTACGAAATTCCACATACATTGCACATTCTAAGGAAGGATGCCAACAACGTAGGAAGTACAGAATCTGAAAGAACTAAAATTTCAAATAGCGTGCTTATCAACCAAGTTTCACTTGCATGAACTATAAGCACAAAAAGTAAATTCATCCATTTGAAGCTTTTATATGATATAGGCAGTGCTCATTCACTTGTCAAACATAGCAAGCTCAGGTTTATTTTCCAAGATTATCACCTACGAAACCATTATCGACACACGAACAAGCATTGACAAAACTAAAGCTCACCCAGTGTAGTAGTCCTTGGGAATGTAGACATCCCGAACTTCCCCATATCTTTCAAAGGGAGCTCTCAGCTCTTCAGCTCTGCAAAATTAAACAAAACCCCAATTTCAGAAAACAGAACAGTGAAAACCACCAAAAATATATATATATATATATATATATATATATATATCAAACACAAAAAATCCAAACTTTTCGTTCACAGGACCTGCAATCCAGAGGAATGTTCCGGACCAAAAGACTTCCATTATTCTGCTCCTTGCGCCTTCTTGGGGGGCTCCTTCCTCGCCCACCTCCTCCTCCTCCTCCTCCTCCGCCACCGCCGTAGCTCCTCCTCGGAGGACTATAGTACTGCGGGCTGTACCTTCTCATATCCAACACTACAAAAGTACCCAACTCGATTGGTTTCAAGATCACATAGCACGAAGAAGAAACAACCGTTGGAATTAGGGTTTTGTCAATTTTTCTGATCGGGTGAAGACTTTGAAGATTCAAGAGAAGAAATTACCTGTAAGTTTCCTAAAGACGGTGAATCGTACGAACAACGAGAGAGCTTCGAAGAAATTGTACTTTTTGGATCTGAAATTTCTGAAGAGAGAGACTGTTTCAAACAATCGAATCGCAACCCTGATTTTAAGAGCCGGCTCGCAGCTTCCACTCTTTGGTTCGGACACTCCATCTGATGACGTACTTTGATGGGCCGTTGGGCCGGGTTTTCCCTGACCAGTTTTTTCGGGCCTTTGTTTCCTTTCGTATAATCACTTACATTCACATATTAAATTTTAAGATAGTGATATTCATATACTTATTTTTACATTTCACACATCCTTTTAAATTTTTCACCGTCGGATTAAATGAATTGAAGAAGAACAATAGACATATATTACTATGCGAAGGCAAGTGATTGTTTATTTCTTCACAAATCGTAAGATGTAGTTCACGGGGTATACTTGAAACTGTTCTATTTTTTTTTCGCTTTCTAGTGTTCTACACTCATTTTCCACTCGTAAATCTTCACTAAGTTTTCAATTATTTGAAGATGTCTTTGATGGTATTTAACTGGAATGGTTCGTCCATCGTCAATGCATGTTCAATTTACATAGGCGCTCCTCAACATCACAAGAGTAAAGATTTTTAATCCTTTGGCGCTCCTCCTACTTCTCAAAAAGTGGCCCTTCAAGGTTCTAGATTTCTTTCTCAAATGAAAAAAAAAAAATCACCAAATTATGCAATTTTATGATGAGCAATGAAAAACCATTAAAGCCATGAGAAGGAGGAGGAAGTGCTATAATTTTGTGCCTTCGCGAGCCGTAGATAACCAGCATCACTGCGTTATCAGAGACGCGGAACATTTCTCCCCAACCCTCCGAATCTGTACAGGAGAAAGTTGGTTTCCGCACCAACACACTCTATAGGGAAAATATCGCTCTACCAGTAGCAAAAGTAGATGATGCAGACCACCTCCAACTTCGAACAACACTTTTAACAAGTTTCTTAGAGATGAAGGGACAAGAACACGCACTGTGTGGCGTACAGCCCACCGCACAGAGGAGCAAACAGTTGACAACGACGTCAACATGCAACTGCAACTGGAGCATCTTCATCAGTTTGTAAGTTATCAGAGTCAACGGGCAAAGGACTCTTCTGGAACTTGTTTCTTAGCTGACCACAAGCTGCATCTGCATCCAAGCCCCTTGTTTGACGTGTGCTGACCGTTACTTTATTGTTCTCCAGAGCAGCTGCAAATGCTTGTACCTGCCAAATGAAATTGTCAGAAACCACAACAAATCAGGTGAATCAAAAACCGATTTAAACTAACAAAAAAGCAAATATTGGAGTAAAGAGGTGTTTATGTTTAAAAACAAAATTACATACCGCTTTCTTGGATGGACGTTTATACTCAGAGCCTTCTATTGGATTAAATGGTATCAGGTTCACATGAGAACCTCGTCCCCACTCATGGAGTAGCTCTGCAAGTTCTACTGCATGGTCTACCGCATCATTGACTCCAGCTACTCAAAATAAAAATCATTGTCAGGTTGTTAAAGTAGGCACACTGGGATCAAAACAGACAAACATAAATTTCCTAAATCTTATTCCAGTACCTAAGAGTGCATACTCAAAGGAAACCCGTCTACCGGTTTCAGTGAAATAGTCCCTGCAATCCCTCATCAGTGCACTCAGAGGGTATGCTTTTGCACTTGGCACAATTGTTTCCCTCAGCTTCTGGTTAGGAGCATGCAGGCTGATGCACAATAGTATGAGAAAAGTTTAGCACTGGTTTAACTTCAGAACTCTACCCTTTCTTTTTCTTTTTCTGAACAAGCAGTTCAACCAAAATGCCCCAATAAATACGAATAAGTCATTCCCGTTTAAAAATAATATACCTGACAGCCAATGTCGACTGAAGTTTGTGGGATGCCAGCTTTTTAATTGTATTTGGAACCCCCACTGTAGAAATTGTGATCATTCTTTGCCCAATTTGAATATCCTGTAGAAAATAAAGTACCACATAAATAAGCTTTCACTTAGATCATAATGTTAACAATTTTTGCATATTTATAATCATGTCACAAAGTCAAGTTCTTGATTCTATATATAAAACATGGAAATGAAGCCGCTACAAAAAATCACAAGATACAGTTGAAAAGGCACCTTGTTTAAACACTGATGCGCTTCAAGAACCGCCTTCAGGTTCATCATCGGTTCACCCATTCCCATGAACACCACATTAGTCACCCTATGGTTGAAGATTTCCTCAACAGCCAAAACCTGGACAATAGAAGGTATCCTGAATTACAATGCATATTGAGTTTACTTATGTATTAGCATACAACAATGGTAACCCTTACATAAAATTTCAATTATGCCTTTGCACAAATGAGATAAACAAGCGAGCATGCAAACAGCCCTTACTCATAACGGATTTTGAAAATAAGAGCATGGAAAAGACAGTTGATACCTGCTCAATAATTTCATGCCTCTTGAGGTTTCTTGAAAATCCTCCTTTTCCCGTGGCACAAAAAGAGCAACGAAGAGGGCATCCCACCTGTTTCACCCAAATTAATAAGAAATTCTATACGAACTGCACTGCAGTGAACCATGCACAAAACCAATACTCAAACATAACTGCAGGGAAATTTTATTTCAATGGCTAAATCTCATCTCAGAAATCACCTGTGATGAGACACACGCTGTAAGGCGCATCACACCTTTCTCATCTTTAACTGGTATGCCAACAGTTTCAATCAATCTGTTATCCTCCAACTTTATCAACAACTGCAAGAATCAAGGGCACAACTTTTAACCGCTAACCCACAAATTATCTACTGGCAATCAAACGGCCCCCTTTTAAAAACAATCATGATCCATGGGAACCATTCAACTTCGAATCGAGTTATAAAAAGATATCCCAACAAAAAATATTCCATAAAAAAAGTCTCAGAATTATCCAGTAACCATCTTCCAAGAAATTACCTTGACAGTGCCATCAGCAGCAGTGACGCTCTGGTAAATGGGTGACCTCCCAACTTTCCATCCAGCTTCCTCAAGCTCATTTCTGAATGCCAGAGGCACTGCAACACAAAACCCCACAGTAATTTAGCATTGCCCCCACAAAACACAAAAAACCCAGAAAAGAAAAAAAAAAATCTTTTTTTAGAGAGAGAGAGATGGAGAGAGAAAGTTACCCTGATTGAAATCCTGAATATCTTTAATCTTTCTTTTGTAAATAAGATGATGGAGCTGCTTCCCTCTGTAGCCTTGCTGTAGATAAATTTTCAGAAACAGAAATTCTGTAACTTTCAATTCTGCGCAAACAAACTGGGAGCATTTTGTGCTTGTTTACCTGACTGAAGTCGATTGCGAGCTGCTGGAGCTCCGGTTCCGACAAGCCTAGGAGGACTTGGGGGTCGGCCCGTTTCGCTAGGGAGGGAGCGGTGGTGGTGGTGGTGGACAGGTTCATGCTCGCCGCTGCCATGGCACGAGTGCGGGCCGCGCGTGCGAGAGGAACGGCGCAGACGCGCTGAATTAGCGATGTTGATGAGGCTGTCATCATTGTGCTGTATTGGGTTTTTGGCTTCGCGCGAGATGAAGAAGATGAAGCAGAGGAAGAAAGAGCGTGGTGTGGCTAAAACCTCAGCGGTTTACTGATATTGGACTTGATATGGGCTTTAGGCCCAACTTGGATCAAGCCCATAAATTGGGGCTCGACCCCCAACCATGGTAAGAGAAATATTAAAGGTACTCACTTAAAAGTGGAACAATGTCACTTCATGTTTTTTGCATAGTATTTTATAATGTTGACAAAAGAGTTGATGTTAAATTATGAGGTGGTAGAGAAGAGTCTCACTCTAAGAGAATCCTCTTAGCATTTCTTAACATGGTAGAGGGTGGCAACGGATCATGATCGAGTTTACGTATTTATGTTTCATGTCAATTGATTAATACGTGAATGATATAAGAATTAATAAAATAATATACTATTATTCATCATATGTAAGAAAATTTGTTTTTTTAGTATCATAATATTAGTTGAAGAATGTTAGTCGTGTTTTAATTATGTATTGTATACACTATACACCTTGATTCTTGAACATAACTATGAGAATGATTGTTGAGATCTTAAGAAATTGACAATCACAAGCGATTAGTCTCAGTATTTATATTGTTTCTAACTTAACCACCTATACTTATCATTTATATAAGTATCTTCAATTTCTTTACTTTATTTTATAAGTGATACTGAGAGACGGAGAATTGAATTTGAGACTTTAGGTGCATTAGTAAAAGCCCTTAGCCAACAGAGCTACAAGTCCTTTGCAATTGTGGAGCTTCAATTAGTAAGTCAAAGTAAAAGGAACAAATGGAGAGCAACATTTTGAAGTGTAGATGTAAAGAATGGCAAATCCTATACCATATGGAAGCTTGGTTAGGTGCTCAAGTTGGATTGAGTCCTTCATGATCGATGCTGAAAAATCCACAATAAAGTTGTGGAGGAATGGCACAAAATAAAGGGCAAGCTACCTATTGTGGGTTTTTTATGCCGACTGCTGAAAAACTGAAATTGTTGAGTCATAAGCGGTAGGCGAGTCCCACATCGACTAGACCAAAAAGAGCGAGCTAGCGTTGGCACTATAAAGCAAGGCAACCTAGACCAATGAAAAAGCATGGAGCCATGCGTTGAGCAAAAAATGAATTATTCTATCGCCTTTTACTAAAGAATATCGTATGCTTGTCGTTTTAAGTGGCATGCGTTTATTTTTGGAGGGCGCACCTTTGTGGGTGCCCCTAACAATTCCAGTTCATAATGTGTTACCCTGCAGTGTATGCTAAACTATATGAAGTTTGAATCCTATGAAGAGAGTACAGAGGTTCAGAGTGTTCCATGAAACAATTTAATGGTTATGTTGGGTTAAAACCTCGATGTTCCTCATATTCCAGGCAGACACAAAAAATGCTTGAGAGAAAAGGAGCCAAGAAGAGGGCCATCTCTGAGATTTTGGGGGTCCTGTACAAAATTTATAAAAGCGCCCCTCCTTAAGATAATCTTAAAAAATGTAAGACAATGTATTGACGTTAAAAAACAATCACTTAAATCAAAACAAAGTTTATCATTCATTCATTGCAAGTTTAAAATGTCATTAATAATGAGTAAAAAGAGCTACAAACATAACGTTCACTAAATAATCAAGAGCATTTCAATCTTAAACAACCAAACAAGAAAACCAACTTCAAAAACTCTTTAACTTTAAAGTTTCACTTGAATATGTAACATTATTATATAATAATATTGAAAAAAAATACCATCTTCTAATGGTGTATTATTGGCACTCAAAATATCTTATTGTACTCTAAATTTTTATATTGAGAAAAAAAAATTACGCTTATAAAGAATATAATATTATTACATATAAATATAGAATATATAATTTTTTGAATATATAATTTATTTCGTAACAAAAACAATTTTAAATATAGAATATTATTACATATAAATATTAGATGACAAATTTTAGGAGCCCCTTCAAATTTGGGATCCTATGCAACTGCACCTTTCGCACCCCGTCAACGCCCCCTCTGACCAAGAAGACATTCACAAAACAAAACTGTACAACAATCAACTGTCCGTCAGCAGTTACGTACAATTTTCAATATACACCATCTGCCGCCGCCTTGTTCCTATTTCTTTTCCCTTCCCTTTCCTTTCAGACTGAATCCCCCTCTTCCTTTGAACCAATAAAACTAATGATAAAGCATGCATGAATGATGAATGTCTCATGTAGGGGTGCGGGAAGCGGATGCCCTGGGATGATGGGGAGTTGATGCTCTGTTGACTCCGTTGATACTGCGCCTGCGATGTCTGGGAGCGTGGTTTGAATTTGCATGAGGGTTTGGGCGATGTTGGTTTGGAGAGATACCTGCACCCTCCGAGTCAATGGGTTCCTGAAGTTGCTCCAACGCTTTTACCACGTCATTCATGTTTGGCCTAGACTTGGGTTCAAAAGCTAAGCATCGAATTGCAAGGCTAACTGCTCTGAGGGCTTCATCCAAAGAGTACTGGCCTTCAATACGGAGGTCAAATATTTGGATAAATTTGCGTTTACTTGCAAGGTAAGGTTTGGCCCATTCAACTAAATTGTGTTCTCCCGTTGGCCGGTTCTTGTCCACAGCTCGTCTGCCAGACAATAGTTCGAGCATAACAACCCCAAAGCTATACACGTCACTTTTCGCAGTTAAATGACCTAATAAAAAGTAAAATAAGGATCAGCAGGGAGCAATCATGCATTCTTGACCATATTTAAGATGAAAATAAAGCATTATGGTAGCTGCAGCACCGATTAAGACGATGAAACATAGGAACGTAGCTCTTATAAAGCAGAAGTGTGACAGGAAAACAAAGTAATCTAAGGAGAACAAATTGTTTCAACACAGCGAAGTGAGGAGTAAGTCAATCATGTATCCAGAAAGTACAGCGAAACTTTCTGCAACTACATGGAGGTGAAACAAATGAACAAGAAAATTAAAACCAAATGCTGGTCATTCATTAGGGGACTGCTGAAGGGAAATCTTCCAGCGAGGCCAGGGTAATATGTAGCAGAGGTTTCAGATGCAACATAGGTACTGAGTAGAAATGAAGTAAATGGGAAATAGACTGGTGTACTACCTACAAAGACTGGATAATCTCATGATCATCGTCTATGAAGGAATTAGCCTTTTTTTCTTTCTAATATTGATCGGAGCCTGGCTGTGGTTAGAGCCTAGAACTATTTGGTTAGTATTATTAAATGGTCACAATTAGACTGAATTGGTGAATGGTAGATACAAATATTAGGTTGCTTTTGTAATGTGAACTCAATCCTGTTAACTAAACGTACCTGTGGCCATATACTCAGGCGCTGCGTACCCATATGTCCCCATGACTCTTGTTGAGACATGGCTTGTATCATCGGCTGGGCCATCCTTGGCTAGTCCAAAATCAGAAAGCTTGGCATTGTACGTCTGTTGTTTTTCAATTAAAATTTTGTGTCAGAAAGTCTTATACCAGAATTCATCTAGAAGCAATGAAACTCAACAATTAAAAGTCTCACTTACCGAATCAAGCAGGATATTAGCAGTTTTAAAGTCCCGATATATCACTTTTGCCTCGTCACTGTGAAGAAATGCTAGACCCTTAGCAGCGCCAAAAGCAATCTTCATACGAAGGTTCCAGGAAAGTGGTTGAAAGTAAGACGCCCCTGTTCCAACAATAACATTTTAATCAATAAGTTATGCTTACATAGTTCATATTGAAATATTTGATTTCCTTAGCAATGGCACTGCTTACTCTAAAAGAAAAGGCTAAAAAGTGAAGGAAGTTCATAACTCACTTCTAAATAGATGATTATCCAAGCTTCCACGAGGCATAAATTCATACACCAAAATACGGTGGTCATCCTCTAAGCAGTAACCAACCAACCTTACAAGATTTTCGTGATGCAGCTGCCCAAGGTAGTTGATTTCCGTCTATAGTTCAAGAGGCTCCACAAAGTTAATAAATTATTCTCTGAAAATATTACATATAACGTTATATACATGCAAAAACTATTATGGAGGAAGATTCATTCAGGTTGGTTCAATATATTAGCCTTTTGAACTAAAAACATCCGTTTAGATTTTCAAATATTTGATTGCACCGAAAAAAGATCAATCAAATATTCGTAAAGTGCATGTAAGCTAAAGAAGGATAGAAGTAATACTCACCAACCATTCCTTGTGACCCTGGATACCTTCTTGGTTTAGCCTTTTCGCAGCAATAACCAAGCCAGTACCAGGCTTGGCAGCTGTTAATGAATTCTCATCAACCCACCCCTTAAAGACACAACCGAAACCCCCTTCACCCACCACACTATCAGGACGGAAGTTCCTGGTGGCATTTTTCAGTTCGTTAAAGCAGAAGTTCTTCAAATTGGAGGACTGCAGGATCTCACCCTCTGTCCGAGGAGTTGAAGGCACTGAGACAGACGATACCCTGCTATTTGAATGTAAACCTACACATTTCAAATACCATATAACTTATAAATAATGCTCAACATTCAGTCATCATATAAAAGTTCTAAAAATAATCTATAACATCACAATGAAAAAGAGTAGGGCCAAGTTAGTTGCTTCTGTATACAGTACAGAAACTAAAATCTCAATTTTGGCATCGATTGACTTTCAACAACAAAATGGTTAGCTTTTGATGATGCCACAGCTTATGAAGTACAATGGTAATCTAACATGGTGTTCGAGGTTCGGTTCCAAGAGGTCTTGCTTTGAAACCTCTAGTCCCCCACTCCCCAATTGATGGGGAAAACATATAAGCTCCATTAAATCCTAGAAAATAATCCAAAACATAACAACAGAAGGGTGTAATAAAAACCAGCAAGTCCATGCAAATCTGAGTTAAACTCGATCGTAACGAGCTTAAAAGGTTGTGGTTTAAAAAGCTCTAGCCTTTGATATGCCTCTATATAGCAAAAGAAATGGAAGCCAATAAAATTCAAGTTTCTTATTAACTTTGAATAACTTTCTTATTTGGGAGAATCAGAGCAGTAACAATCACAATATCACATAACCCCTGAAGTAGAACCCAACACAGAATTGCTGAAACAAAAATTCCAAACAAAATCAACTCTTTCAGCAAAAACAAAACATAAAACAGCTAGCTGAGCTGCTATAAGCTCCAGAACTGCATGTTTCATTAATCAAATCCGACCAACTTCAATCAAAGTTCAAAACTTTTAATTAACAGAGTTAATCAGAAACTAATTGATTAAACTTAATTACCATTGTGGAGGGGGCTGTCAGCTTTGATTCTAGAACTTAAGCAAGAACCCATCACTAGAAGACGCCTGAAAAAGAGGTCTTTCCGGACCCAACTGCCAGAAAAGGAGGAAGAAATAGAAACCCAAGTTTGCAAACAAGTTGAAAAGCGCAAGCAAAAGCAGAAGCCCGCGAATCAAAGATGATGTTCTCACCAATCGGTGTGAAAGCTCTCTCAGCTAGGCTTTTTCACAAACACCTAGCTGTCACGAGCACGCAGTAACCCACTAATCGAAAGGCGGAAAAAAATTGACGGAATCAAAGAAAGCCCCTCGTTTTGAACATGGAAGATTTTGGAGGTATATGGGGGTGTTTGGTTGCTGGGAAGGTTCTTTTATTAGACCTTCGGGAAGGAGAAAAGTGGGTTGACATTTCTTTGTCTGCAACTTGGAGAGAGAGAGAGAAGGAGAGAGAGAGATGCCTAATTTGGATAAGCTCCAACACACTTTTCTTTGCCATTTTCCAAATCCAAACCCCCCCCCCCCCCCTCCTCCCTCTTTCCTCTCTCTCTCTCTCTCTCTCTCACATCGTGCGTTAGGCAGCTTTTGCATGGCTGCACCCACTGCTGTGCGTTTTTAAAAAAAAAAACTAATGAAAATAGTTTGAAAATTTTGAGTTTAAACGATAAGAATAAAATAAAATAAAATGAATGGTATCAGGATTGACTTTTTAATATAAAAATATTGTTTTTCGTTAAAATAAACAGTACCGTCGATTTTTCGTTGAAACTTCATATTTAAAAGGAAAAATGAAAGCCAACTCTCTCACTTAGGTTACAGGTTTAATGTTGGTTTAATCATGCTGATGATAATGATTTAACCATGAGAATTATTTTGATCGACGGATCATCAGCTGACTAATAATTACTCTAATATTAATTTTAGGAGAAATTAGGTTCTCATCCTTCATTTTGCTACTTCATTGATTAAAATCATTTTCCTTTT